GAGCCAAATCCGAAAAAAAAAAAACGAAACCACGACCGATGAATACTGCCGGCGCTTTTGCAAGCACGTCAAGCATCACTGAAGGAAAAGTGAGTAGCATATCGGAAAAAAAATCCAACGATGGACGAAGACAATTAGCGGGAGTTGGCGAGATTAGAATAGTGCTCATAGCGTTGTTGTCGCGACGATACCGCTGGATAAGAGACCATCGAGTAAACTGAAACAAAGTTTGCTTTGTCTACAAGCGAACGTGAAACCATGTGCGCTCTCTGAAACAGTTGGCACAGTAAACTCGGGGCAGACATGGGCGCCGAGAAGTAACCAGATTAGGCATGTAGCGTTTTTATGAATACCATGTGCATTGATATGAGCTTTGGCAATGAATTGGCTGCGTACGGGCTCGGCGCCGGCACATGTTCTGCACGTACCCACGCGAGATCGCTCCAAGTAGTGCAGTATGTGAGAAAAAAAAAATAAAGTGAATTGACTGCATAAAATGCGCAAAGCAGGTCCCCAGATAAATAGCGATCTGATTCGGAGCTCACTCAAAACGGTGCATCGGTGTGTGTTGTTGTTGCACGTGGAGCAGTACGTGTGAACGAGCACATTTCGCGAAACTTGAGTGTCGCGAAACCGTTGCGCGCCTAAAAGATGCATCGCGTGAACAGACCTTAAATGGCATTCGAGTTGCCCCTGTGGCACGGGTATAATGCACATCTCGGCGGCACGAGCTCTCGTGCATTAGCAGCTGCCAACGCTATATGCTCGCGCTTCTAGCCTTCGCTAAGGTACAACATAAGGTGAAACGAAGTTAACTCATGGGGGTTCGCCCCAGCTAAAGATGGCGGCGCCCGCCGCATCGCCACCCATCTAAAAAAGTATCGTAGCAACAAATATTGTCGGAAGAGGTATGATTCGGGGCCAGAGTTCGGCGAGGGCGGCCATTGTGATGTCGGTGCCGATCAGACTTTTGTTGTGCCTCTCTTGCTTGAATTCGTGTGCAATACCCACCCCTGCCCATTTCGATCTGGATGAGCATCCTACCCGCGTGCGGTCGTGTATACCACTCCTGCGTGGTGCATGTTAGAGACCCCAGGCTAGCAGTCGTACTGTACCGGCGAAATTGCTTATCTACAATGGGTAACAATGTCGCCATATTCTGGCAGACTAACCTCTTGCTGTATAATCAACTAACGACGACTGAATTTGTGTGAAACATTCTGACTGTCGTTTCTTTACTCTCAAAACAATAAGTGAATGAAAAGTGTGCATATAATTCATCTGCATCGCTTTTTTTAAAAATTATGATGTGACATTAGTTTTGGTTTCGTTTCGGTTTCAACAGCGTCCCATGACGAGGCCCGTGGCGATAGCCACTGGGAAAAGAAGATCGCGTGCAATTAAAAAGCCAGACACAAAATGGCGTTACTTCTTTCTCTTCATTATTCCTGAAAAATCCCATAGAGTTCCTATGAGTCAGAGCCACAAAATGGCGGACGGAAGTAGTCATCCCCCGGTTGTCGGACTACAGCGGCCTAGAGGTTGGGTAGTGCGCTCACCGCTCTATCTCCCCCGTGTATTGTGCTCAAGCGGCCGATGTCGAAAACGCCAAAGGCGCAGTAGTGGATTCCTCCTGAAACTTCTGCCGCCCGCTGCCCGCGATTGGTAAGAGCCGCCTAGCCGACCTGGTCTGGCCAATGCGCGCTGGAACGTTTCAGGAGGAAACGCTTACAGCGCCACCGCCGCGTCGACATCAAACGCATCAGGCCGAGCCGTCCCGTAAGCCCACTACAACTCTCTAGGCCACTGCAGTCGGATGACGCTACTGTGGTTGCCAGACTCAAAATTTCCTTAAGAAGGCCAAACTCTCTCAGTGACCGTGTTCCAAATTTTATTCGATCTTACTCCGGGGCAAGGGTTTTGTACCCTTGGCGTTCGAAAACCTACCCGCGTCCAGCGTTTTTCAATCTGTGTTGCCATGTGACACGACCCGCCGGAGTAACTCGGATTCATTTGGGACAGATTTGGAACACAGCCGGAATAAACGGCTCTGGGTCAGAAGTTTGGGTGTCGCCGCCTGGTGGAATTTTTCACAACCCAGAGTGAGGATACTTCACCTTCCTCTGCCGGTGCAAGCACGTACAATGCCAGCTTATATGCGCTATAAACATAATTACGTGAGCAGCACGTGCACTACCCATAGTGAGGAAAACAGAAGCGCCCCTAGCGAGCTTCTCACAGCGAATTGTGTTCAAAATACATGCGATTTCTTTATTTTGATTATATTCATTATATATATATATATATATATATATATATATATATATATATATATATAGAGAGAGAGAGAGAGAGAGAGAGAGAGAGAGAGAGAGAGAGAGAGAGAAAGAGAGAGAGAGATATATATAGATATATAGATATATTTAGCCTGCTGCCAGAGTCCCAGACACTAGTTCGAGCGAAGTAATAACAATGTCCAGAAACGTTTTGCAGGGCCCCGGATCACATCATGCGAAAGACAGTCCGCAAACACGAGGCACCGTAATATCTGTGGTTTGAATGCCGCGTGCGGAGTTTTCTCCTTGAACTCGATGCCATGCGGCATTCGAAGCACGGATCTCGCGCTGACTCGCGTTCGAATCTGCTTGCAGACAGTCTTTTGTGCGATGCATAAGCAGCCGGTGAACCCGGCTTTAAGAGCACCGGATATCGAAGTACGGAGAGCGAAAGAATGCGCCGTATACCTCGGTTCAGTTCGCGTCCTTGTGCAGTTTCCGGTACGAACGGGCATTGTTTTCACGTGTGGTCGTAGAATTACTACTATTTTAAGCAGGTTTATGATCCCGAGTTATGGGCCGCGCTTCAAAGTCTAAATTGCTCATCTACAGCGTTGTATCGGTATCGTCAGAGCTCGGAGACGAATCGACCTCACAACGTCCACTCTGCTTTTGTTATCAAACTTTCTTTCTATAAAGGCCCCAACCCAAAAACAAAGTTTTGTTCATATACTTATGAACCTACCGAACTACCTTTCAAAAGTGACCGAGACGCGCGCTCTTTTCTTTATTATTTTTTTAAATAATTATGACAAGTCACGATTAGAAAACATGGTCACCGACCGCCATATGGAAGGCAGGCTTGTTTTAGAGCATTGAAATAAAAGACCCTGCGTATTCGAAATGTAGGGTCCACTAGACACCCCGGCAACATAAGAGTCTTAAAAAAAAAAAAAAAAAAATCGCCCACTTGCCATGCTAGCGCGACGAAGGGAGTGGCAACACAGACTAGTGTGACGCGCTTTAGTGTGGAGAAAATGTGCACATGTGGTGATTGAAAGACGCGAAGCTGCCCCGTTCCGTGCAAGGTAAACGCGTGAGCACGAACTCCGTGGATGTCTTAAGGCTCGTTCACACTCTTGCAACCGAGTACGACCGAGAGAGACCAGACCGGTTTTTAATCCTCTTGTGACGTCTTAGGACCAGCTCCGCAGTAGCGCGTCTGGTTCTAAGAAGTCGCAAGAGGATTAAAAACCGGTCTTGTCTCTCTCGGACGTACTCGGTTGCAAGAGTGCGAACGGCCCTTTACTTGTGGGCGCCATCTTCCGCGGGTGAGGTGTGAATTGCGACTTTCCCAGAGCCTGTTAGAGTGTGAGACGCAGTAGACGGAGCTCGCGGGAAACAGAGCAATTGAAAGGGAACAACGCCAAGCAGAGCCCTGGCGCCAGCTCGCAGCAAAAAGAGAACCAAACACTCGAAATAAAGTGAGCGCCTGCTTTCTATTCTCTACAGTTTTGCCGATTTTACTCGCGTTCTTTCTCTGTGAAAGCCCGGAGCGCGCGCTCGCTTCACGGAGCAGAGCGCGACTGCATATCTGAACAAGCCATATTTTTCCCCCACTGGGAGTTACACGGAGTCACTCGAGGAAGAGGCTCGGCTGGCACTCGTATTGAGGCGGGGAGGAGACGAGCGCTGCGTCAGTGTTCGGCTGGCAGTCGGCCTGTAGACTCTTGTTGCTTGCACCTGGCCGGATACAGTTAGGTGGCAAGTTGAATTTAGGGGGTTTACGTGCCAAACTAACGAAGAGCAGCTGGCACGCCCCACCGGAGGACTGATGATTCATTTCGACCACCTGGGGCTCTTTTGATGTACAACCGAAAACTCGGTTACACGGCGCCTTATTCTCAGCAATAAGCATTCGTCAGACTGCGGACCCCGCTATCGGGATTCAAACCCGCCACCTGAAGATCCGTAGGCCGGCGCTTTGCTTAGGAGCCCCCGAGGCGGCTAGCACACAAGTCTCAGCTCGTGGGCAAAATCTTGAGCCTCATTCACACTGGTGTTTGAACCGCATCCTCAAAGCGGTTGCGAATGTGGTCGCTTAAAAAAAAAAAATTGGTGACGTTTCACGCACATTTGATGATGAAAGCGAGCGGATCCGCATTGCGGTTGCAATTCAAACTTCCGTGTGAATGCAGCATTGCGGCTCTCCGAGGCACTGCCCGAGCGTGCCCAGGTTGGCGTCGATAATCATACCTGATTCGCACTGCTGGACTTCCCAAGATGTAGGTAGCGACTTGTGTTGGCTCAAACCGTGGCATCGCAGCTTGCTCCCACCTACCTTTTCAGCAGCACTCTTCCTGGTAGAGGATTCATTAGCATCAAGAATAAAAAAGTTGTCTGGGTGTAAATTGCGGTTTATGCAGCCAGTAGAAGAGTTGTTTGAAGTACGCCGATCTCAAAACGCTAGCCGAAAGTAGTTATCGTTTAACGGGACAACTGACTCATTGAAACTACGTCGGTATAACAAACTCTAAACTAACATGGTGACTCTACAAATTCAAGAAATTTTAGCCGATGAAAATGACAGATGGCAAAGAATCAGTTCTGGAGACGGAGCATCCCGGGGTATACCCTGCTGCTGTCGAAGCAAGTTCGCTGCTGTCGAAGCAAGTTCCGCGCAGCAGAACCATGCCAGAGATGAAGAGACACGAACGAGAGAAATTTTCCTGTATCAGTTTATTTTTAATGTCGTGCTTTCGATCGGAGATGATTGAAAACTAGATTCTCTGTTATCGGTCTGTCTCTTTTTTGCGTGTCAACACGAAACAGAACAGCACTCGAACCCAAAAGGCACTTCTTCCCTTTTGTGAACCAATCTAGCGGGGAGGACAGCTGCCCTTGTCGCGCGCAGAGGCAGTCCCCGGTTTCGCGTGAGCAAGTCCTTCCCCCCGGGGGACGGTCCCCGAAACCAACATGGCACGTCCAAAGCGCCCCTCGCGCTCGCCTTAGCTTTTCTTCACTTGTAAGACTAGCAACCATAAGATCCGAACGGCTGGCAATTCTAGCAGATCCGAAACTACTCGAGGTTCTCGATGTTGGCGTCGTGCCGCAATGAGCCGACGTCTCCCGGAGACTGCTGGCGAACATGCCCGCATTGTTCGGGGGAGAGGAAACGTCGTGTGGCACAGGAACACTAGACTCGGAGCCGGCGTGCCGGAGACACGGGCCCCGGCGTTTGAATACCATCCTATAGTAAAATAACGGGATGTCCTTGCGCGTCCACCTATATACACGGGGTTATGTACACGGGGAGCACCGTGGCGTCCCGGAGACCAACTCAGCTGGTGCCCCTGGAGTCGTCCGCGTCCTGCGGACCCGAGTCCTTGGCGACGGTGACCTCGGTGGGGCCGTCGTGGGGCCGCTTGGACGACGTGGTCTCCTGGACTGTGACTGGCGCCGCCAGCTGGGCGGCCGTGGGCAGCGCCGCGCCCTTGTCCGGCACGGGCGCGTCTTGCACGTAGATGACCCTGTTGAAGGCCCGCCAGCGACGGAACAGCTGGACGTACATCTTGCACTGGACATACATGAAGACCAGGCCCCCCGTGAAGCCGATGGCCACCACGATGAGCTTGGTCCAGAAGGGCCAGTCCAGGTTGCCCTCTCGCATCTCTTCCGCCGTCCGGTCGATGAGGACGTACAGCGACCAGACCACGCATGTGATCGCCACGACGTGGAACGTAATGGAACAGAGTACCTTACGTTGCTCCACCGAAGACATCTCCAGCTTGTCCCACTGCGAAAAGGAGGCATTGTAGGCGCTCTCCTCGACCGCCTCCCCATGGCAGTGCCCGTTCCATAAGCATCTCTCATTATAAAGAATGCCTACATGTTTATCTATCGCCTTTAATTATCGGCATTATAACGTTCGTTGAACAAAAAACAGCACAGATCTAGAGTTATGGCGTAGGCAGCCGCACTTTCTACATGACTGAACGACAGGCTTCCATGCACTTGTCAGCTGTCAGCACTCTAGAGTTTAGTTACTCATACTGTCTGTTACTTTATGCGCACCTGCTACAGAACAGAGCCTGAAGAACGATTGTTCTAAGTGCAATCATAGCCGGCTTAATTGAAATAAAAAAGCAACAGCCTTGACAGTCTCGTTTCAGACGGTCACACTGGAATATTATGTGAGGCTAAAGGCACCCTGCAATGCTGTTTTGCTTGGCGCTATGTAGCGACTGAAGCAGAAACATAGGGCATGCCTTGAAGTGGCGGCTGTATTGTTCAAACGTGAGCTATTACTTTGGTGGCATCGCTTATCCTAGTGTCCGAAACAAGAAATGCCGGGAAGCCGTGGGCGTATAACATGTCAATACGGCGGAAGCTACGGCCCTTGCGGGCCAATGAGGAACGTTACTACGTATCGCCGGAGTGCGATTTTAGTGCGAAGAACGCTTTTCGCCGCGTCATGCTCCAATATATGTGCGTTGCGCTCGTACACATAGCGCATAGCGAAGCCGTCAGGATGCAATGTAGGACGTAGCGCTCACCCTTTGCCAAGTTAGGAGACAGGTATAACCGTGACACTCACTATGCAGGCGCCACCTGCCGGCTGGCTATAATAACGCAGTGAAGTTAAGTGGCGCAAGTAGTTCTAGTCAGTACTTTGACCGCACGCTAACTTTTATTTATTATTTATTTACTGATACTGCTAGCCTAAACAAAGCTTAACAGGATCGGTACAAACGCACAAAAACGGGATTAAGAAAGTGCTATCACAAAAAATAATCACGGTAACGCTGTGATGCACTACAACGCACACAGAGTATTTTCGATGGGGCCAAGGTGCTCTGTCGTCAGCACCGGCTGAAAAAGAAACAGCCCAGCAAATTACGGACAACAAAACGAATGTATAATAAAACTTGAATGCGTTTTTCATCCGGTCCAAGATATGTTTTGTACTTAATCTGTGGTCACCCTGGCGGCTCCCAAGCCCAGTTGCCCGACTACGGAACACAGGTAGCAGACTTTTTTGCGTGCAAAGTCCTTTCACTTTTTGAATAATAAAATTGATGATGATGATGATGGCGGGGGAGTCGAGCCGGCTAAGCGCACATTGCACGCGCCGCCTTGATAAAGCTGATCAGAGGCGGCGCGCAGGCAGTCGCTATTGGGCAGGAGATCGAACTAGGGGGCGCTCTGACCCGTTTGTTTTCCCCACGCTCGGTGTTTACTCAACGCAAGGTCTGTGCACATGCCGACAGGCCTTATGGGCATGTTCATGTCATCTTCCACAATAGAGCGCGGGGCATAGTTTAACCTAAAAAATACTAACAATCGACGAAGCGACGTTAAGTGCCGGATCTATCCTCAGAGAATGCGAGCTTGACCAACTTCGGCTTTTGTGCTGAGCTGGGACCGTGCATGCTGCATTGTTCATACAGGCCGTAGCGGAAACAATAGAGCCCCTCCTCCCCCTCACCGGAGAACACGAACACCAGCCGAACGCTGACGCCGCGTTCGGTTATGTCGGCCGAGCGCTGAGTCATTGTTTTGTTGTCCCCATCCGTGTAGTTGCAAAACTAACCGCTTGGGGCGTCACGGTCTGTCCTCCTCCCCAATACATGGACTCAAGCACCGCCGATGACGCGTTGCTTCTACGTTAATACTCTTTATCGTCCCGTTCTTGTTCAATTAAATGTAGTTCCCTGTTCTTGAAACTGTGGGCTCCGGTGTTATTCCGCCGGATCGGGTACGCAGCAAGGCAAACTGACCAGAAATCGTAGATAAGAACAAAAGTATAGCAAAGCACTGGTGACGACACAAACTGGCAAGGAATTCCATTCTGGAATAGTTCGTGGTAAAAAATACCTGTTTAAGTGCATTATTTTGCAGGAGCGGACACTAGGTGACAAATTATGCGATCGTGTTGCCCGTGATCGGAAGAATTTGTTCTTGTTATTTGTCAGCTTTTCGTTAACAATCAGGTATACGAATTTTAGTCGGTCCATCCGACGTCTAGTGTCGAGGTACTCAAAGTTGGCATTCTGTAAGAGCTGGCTTGCAGACCCAGACCATGCTGTAGAGATAAATAAACCAAACTGCCTTTACCTACATTTTCTCTTTTTTTTTTTCTTGGTGTGAGGTTCCCGACCTACTGCTGCATATTCAAGAATGGGTCTTAGGTAGCACTAATAAGCGAGCAACTTTGTTGATGGATTGGAGCGCCCCAGGGACCGTCTTAGAAAGCCGAATTTCTGAAACGGGCGTTGTGATATATAGTTAATGTGGTTGTTCCCATCGCAGATCAGACGAAATGATGACTCCTAGGTATTTGCAGGATTCAACTTTCGACAATGTCGCATCATCTATAAAATGTAAAAATTGTAAAATGTTTGTTTCTTTTTTTCACGTAATATTCATTAATACAGACTTGTTCGCATTAAGAGTATTTTGCCACTTTGCGCAAATGGCTGTACACACCACGCGAAACTTTTTTCTTCTCGCCTGGTATACGGCGGGAACAGGGGAGGGAGGGGAGGGGGCTTGGGTAAACACGTCTCAATGAATCACGCGCTAGCTTTTGTATCCTGTTTCACCTCATGATGTACCGCAGGAAAGGCTACAGACGCGAGCTCCTTGCTCTAGGGCATATTTCGGCGGCACAAGCTCTCGTGCATTAAAGGCAGCTGCCGACGCTATGAGCTCGCGCTTCTAGCATTCGCTGCGGTACAACATAAGGTGAAATGGTGTATAGCAGGCTTCGAAAGTAATTACATTAAAAAAAATAAGCAATACCGTATATAAAATGGATTGCCAAAACAGAATGCCGAAGCTGTGGCGTAGATCTGTGGTAACACAGCTGCTTCACACCCAGCGGATACAGGATCAAATCCAAAAAGCGGTGCGAGTACTTTTTTTTTTGTTTTTGTTAAGGATTTGGCGGTGTTGGCAACGTATTTTATTTTTGCAACTATCGCTGTAAAAGGTCAAATAAGTTGTCGACGAAACGTCGCAGGACGATAGGAAGCCAAGTTTACCACTAAGGTAACTAAATGGCGTGAGCTCTTCAGATTTTTGCGGCACCCCAGAGCCAACAGAAAGAGAATAGGAAATTGATTCACTCGTAGCAACATTCCGGATTTGATCCTAGTTCGCTGGGTGTGAAGTGGCCACCTTAGCGCAAAGTCACGCTAGCTTTTTTTTTTTTAATATTTTTATGACACGGTAGTTATTGTTATATAAGTACTTACATTCACTACGACGTTCATTCCATCGTACACGCACAGATGAGCACCAAGAGGATCTTATTTATGAACTCGCACACCGCATATAAGTTCGGCATCTTACACATGTGACCTACTCACGGAGCAGAATGTACAATCACAGTTGACAAATAATTGAAGTGGTCGTTGATACAGTATACGGCCCTCGCAAATGAACAGAATGACTATTGTTCAGAAATCGGGAAGGCCCAGACATCGAACATGAAGAACCAATCTGGTTGGCTAAATTCAGAAGCATAGACGCTCCTAACTTTTGCTTTCTGCGAGTCGGTCAATCATTCTAGACCGCCATAGGCTGTGAAGTCCTATAATAGCGCGAACATATGATACGGCATCATTTCGTTTTCTGAAAACGGAAGGAAGCACAGGCTGTATTAAACTTAAGGAAGAAAACGAGAAGGAACGGACAAACACAAACTTCCAACTGCCAGTTGGAAGTTTGTGTTTGTCCGTCCCTTCTCGTTTCCTTACTCAAGTTTAATTATCCATACCAACCCGCTCGTTCCGTCCTTACACAGGCTGTAATCTTTAACAATTAGGTCTTTCTGTAGTCTACGTCGCAGTACATCCCAGAATAAAAATGCGTCACTGCAATATATAAAACGAGATTCGATTGTTTCGGCCTTCTTGCAAAGTCGACAATTTACAGTCCAAGGTATAAACATTCCTTTTTTTGATGGTAAGTCTTGACAGGTAAAGTGGAGCTTTGTAATTTAAAGGAAAATATACTTGCTGACGGAGGTGTTCTCATTTTCTTAACTCATTTGAAAACACCGCTGATAGGGTCAAGTGCAAAACTGGTGTGATAAATCGGTATAGAGAAAATGCTCTCTGTGACAATTGCTCATAAAGTTCTTCTCGGTACACTAAACAAATACTCTAATGAAAAGCGTGTTTTAAGAAAGTCAAACGCATCAACCACCTCCTTCAAAAAGCCCCAAGGTCTACCGTGAAATGTTGAAGCTATTGAAACAAACAAAATGTTTAGGCTCTCGGCAAGTCGTATTTGCAGCACAGTTAAAAAAAAAAAAAAAAAAAAAAGAAACGTGAAATTAACTGGCGGATTGCCAAGTTCAAGAGGGGGGAAAGGTTATAATTTTTCAGGGGTTCCCATGTCGAGCACCACATGAAAGGTGCAAAAACCATATGAAACTTCCGTGCGCTTGTTCGAGCGCGGTGAATCATCTCCAGCACGTCCATAAGCTTGGAAACTAGAAATGGTGCTAACTGGTCGTCAATGTCTGACGCGCACTCTAGAACAGAAAGCGCGACATGGATATTTGTTTGGATAGCTCTGCCACGTATACCGCAAGTTTGGTGTGCTCCTCTTATTTTTTTTTTATTATTCACAGGTACTGCAGGCAGCGGAGCTGCCCAAGGAGGAGAGAGTTACAAAAATTGTGACACTAGCGGGCGCTCAGATGATTTAACAATTGTGCTTTCAATAAGCACTAAGGCTTTCAATTATCAGCTGAAATCTTTCGTTCAACATTTTAGCGTACATTTTATAATCCACGTACAGAGGGAAATTGGCCTTTAATTTTCTATCTTTTCAAGCAGTTCTTTTCCCTAGAGCAGTATATCCTTTTTTTTTTTCATGTGTGCCTTCTGAAAAATGTTAATCAGTACTGGACATATCTAATCTCGAAACTGTTTATAAAATTCTCCGCTAAAGTCTGTCAGGTCCAAGTGTTTTGCCTTTTGGTAGCGAGTCAACAGCGGCTGTGATTTCATTTAGAGTTCTAGGGCCTTTATTAAATTGTTGTCTTCCTCAACAAGCTTTGATACCAACGCTAACAGTTGTTCGACGCCGGACTCTTTACTATAGGTATTGGTTTTCCAAAAGTATCTGCAAAAAGTTCTGAAATTAATTTACAATTTCTGTAACTCAGTCAATGTACAGCCGCAACTTTTTGTTATTTTTTTTATCTCTACCATTTCTTTTGCTAATGCGTAACGTCGTTCATCATCTTGGGCTCTCTGTGTAGGCTGTTCAAGCAGAAAGCGCTTGTTCCGAGAACAAAGTAAGGCTCCTCGGTACTTCTGTTTCGTATTTATGAAGCTGAGCTTTTACTATGTTAACATCACCAAATCACGTTGTTTTTGCTTGTTTTCCAGGGCAATAACTGCCGATCTCTCATTTGCTAGGCTTTTTGCCTTCTGCTTAAAACTATCCCATTAAGAAAAAAAAAAAAAAGAAAAGCATGTTGACTACTTGTAGCGTGCCTGACAGAACTAAAAACAATTTTCTTTAGATTCTTCATCTCCAAGTAGTTTTACATTCAATTTTCGTAACTCCCACTGCCTGCGAAAAGCTCGTTCTCTCTCTAGGCCATAGCTCACTGACACGAGACACTGAACATAAAATATTACTGGTTTAACTTGGTACTTAATCATGGAGTCAAATATATTGCCTGACACGTAAATCCTGTCTAACCCTGCGTGAGATGCTTCTTGAAAAGTAGTGTACTCTATGGGGTCGCTCATTCGACAGGCAAAATCAACTAGATTGTGCTCTTGAAGCATGACCTGAAGATCAGTTGCACTAGCATCATACCCAGTTTGTCTGGCCGATCGGTCCTTTGTATTACACACACACTTAAAATCACCCATTACCGCTAAGTCTCTATGGGTGTCCAGTAGCGGTACCAGAAGCTCAAAGAACGAGCATCTTGACCTTTAAGTGTTTGGGGCATACAAGCAAATGAAGCGCCAATTCATAGTGAGAAAGTTAACGTCACAAGAAATAAGACGCCTTTCCAGATCAATGCCAATGGAAACAGATGTTAAATCAAGCTGTTTACGAAAGTAGAGAAAGCACTCGGCACAGAGACTTGCGGCATTGCTGACGCAGATTTCATATTCATTTACAAAAATCACTGACGATTCCCTTTTATACGAAATCCAAGAAGTTCCGTGTCGTGCCTATAGCATTACTGCTTCAGCTGTATTAATACCTTAAAGTGCGAAAACTCATTGAAAGCCTTCGAGAAGCCCGAGTAGGTCACATTCACCTGCCCGCGTAGGTTTAGAACCTACGAAAGATAATTTTTTCCACCAACTGACTGGAAGTCGAAAGTCATCTGCGGAAACCGTGTTGACGATGACTGAGCAAGTTATCTAATAAAAAAAAAAATGAAGAATTATGCGAGAATATAGCATGCTCTGATATTTGTCCAGTGGTGTACAAAAACGAAATTGATCGGTAATTTGCTACAAGCTGTTAAAGAAGACTGACACAAATTAGGCTATACCAAAAGGCATGTTTCGGCTAGTTGGCTGACCAGCATCTTGGTTTAAAACAGCGCGACCAAACAAGGGCCAAGTAAAGACAATACATCGTCCTTACTTTGTCCCTGGTTTGTCGCGCTGTTTCAGACCGAGATGCTATACTAAAGTTTAAATGAAGCCGGTCGCGACTGTTGAAGCAAATGGCTGTCAACAAGCTGCAAGGGAGTGAAAAGTGAACACATAGGGGCGTTTTCCTCACATTTCTTACAAATAGAGAGCTTCCGAAAGGGCGTACGTTGGTTCTACGTAGAAATGGCGTCTCTGACAGGTCGCAGACGGCACTAAAACATGGTACCTTTCTGAAGGGCTTGATCTTGGTGTGCATGATGAAGTTGAACTTGCAGAGCTCGCAGCAGCGCGTGTCGGACGACTTGATCCACTGCTGGAGGCAGGCCTGGTGCACGAACCGGAGGCTGCCGGCGCAGTAGCAGGGCGAGATGAGCGGATTCTCGGCGTCCGCTTCGCAGTGGCAAATGCGGCACATGTCGCCGTTGAGGCCGTTCGAAGAAGACCGCCGCCGCTGCTGCTGCTGGGGCACCTGCTGGGGCACCTGCTGCTGCTGCTGCTCCATGCTGGACACCTGCGGACACGTAGGGAGGCCATGTTGAACGGAAATGCTGCGCTACATTGGCCGTTACTGGTGCGAAAACAAGTGACGTTGACAACCTGCGAGCATCAAAGTATCCGTTAGCTCCAAACACTAAACCGACGTCGTTGCAGAGGTCCTCCAGCTGCAGAACACGCTACGAGTCATCGGAGCCTATTCAAGGCCGTGTGGGTTCCCGTGACCTTAGAGAGGAAGCGCAGTAAAACGCGGAAAGCGTGGTCACGTGGTACGTTCACACAGCTGGATTGATTGGCGGCCGGACGTAAGGAAAAACATCTGTTACGCGTGAATTCCGGGATCAGACGTACCGGCGTGATCACTGATCTCAGAAAGATCGAACGTGTTTGAAATAGCGGAGACGACGGACGAAAAGGGGGGCAAACACAAAACCGTCTCAAACGCAGCTGCTAAGCTTTAGTGGCACAATCGTCTCCATCTCCCACACACGTCTCCCGGCAATTTGCACACGTCCCCGTGTTCCTCCGCCAGGGCATCCAACGGCATCGACTCGTACAAAGCAGTGTAAATTTATACTTTCCTTCCTACATTCACCTAAAGACCGAACCTGGCCCTACCGTCGCACATTCGTACAAAGGCGCCTGATAAGACGCCCTTTGTATGCCTGATAAGACGACAAAAACAAGAAAACAATTACTTAAAAAAAGTTACAAAAACAAAACAAAACAAAAAGTTTTATAGTGTGATCGACGGTTGACTGACTGATTGTCTCCTTCGAGACACTTTTTGCACGACGGATGGATGGATCGATGGATGTTGATGGCTATACCCTGTATAACGAGCGGTAGCTTGCGCCCTCGAGCCTTTTTCTTTGCGCAAGTGTTGCCTGGAAAGCGTCTCCGAACGGTGTGTTTACCACCGTCCCCTTAAAAGTCTGGCTTTCCGCCTGATGACGTCAAAGTCGGGGTCACGGCGGTGGCACAGCAGCAGAAAAGGTTGCGGCAGGCAGATGCCTGTTCCGCTGCAGGTCGGAGACGCCGCGACGAGAGCAACACTCGCGTTCACTTGTACTTTTTGTTTCTGTCGGGCCTTGTACGCCCCACTGCCAGGATCTTGGACGAAACTCGTTGCCGTTTCGCGACCACCTTCGACGCATGGCCAGAATAGGGCGGTCGACACACCAGTAGAACGCGCGTTCCAGGCCGCTCCAGGCACCAGACCGTCTACATACAGAGATCTTTACAAACACGAATAGAATGCATATTCCCCATGTTCGAGAAAAAATTGCGTATCCGGCCGCGAGTAAAGGAGCAATTCCGACGCTTATTCCCCTGTCCCAATTGTGCGACGCAAGACGAAAAGAAGAAAAAAAAATAAAAAAAAAACGACAACATAATTTTTTTTGTGTACTTCCGTGAGGACTCTTCCGCGCAACACCTGCTCTAGCCATCACGGTCAGGGGAGGCGGTTGCGCATTGCACTCGTCTACCCGGAAGTCCCACGAAGAAAGCGCACGTGCGGGGACAAACTAGGTTTGCCCATACAAATAATAATTAAGGATACAGATATGCAACAGCAGCGCACGAACGAGGACGGCTTAGGACATGTAAACCAAGACGAGGTCGAACGCGACGTGCCTGACGACACCCAAACCGATCTGCGTTTTGCTCACAACACTGGGTGTGGGCTCTGGGCGTGCGCAGAAACCAGAATTGCGTCAAGGGGAGCGACTGCGCATGCGCCGTAACGACAGCAGCGCCACCGCTCCAGTATGACGTCAGAGTGGCGGTTTGGTGTGAAAACTAAACTTCACCTGATCACAAAATCCACAACACCTAAACGTTACTTCGAATTGCCTAAATTATATGGAATGGCCATTCACAGCAGACAGCATGGAAAACAATTAGCTCATAAACAACATTTAAATAAAAATAATATATACATTAAGTGAACGTGCAACGATGTTCGCGTGGAATGTTTTTCACTATACGCAAGCTTACTGGTACCAGTGGGACCCAAGTATACTCGCACGCAACACCACTCACAAATAAACTCCTTTGTTGAGGTATAATTTCAAGAACAATAGGGGCTTTTAGCAAACCGCTACCGGGTGATACGGTATCACTATCCGGGTGATACCGTAACTTAAAAGCAAAGGCTCCGGTAGTAAGGTGCGCGGAATACGGTAAAGGTTTCCTGAAAATCCTTAAAAACGTTTTTTGTTTTTTTTCGCGAAATTTGTTGACGGGGTTGGGGTCACAGTACCAGCTACGTCTACCACATGGCGGAGAAAGCCTGTACTCCGTTTCACCTTAGTATGTTGTACCGCAGCGGAGGCTAGAAGCGCGAGCTCATACACTCTTAGAAAAAAGGGTACGGATAGTCCTCCCTTACGGGAGGAACGGTCTTGTAACCTATGTTCCTTTAGAAAGGGAGAAACCTTCGTCCCTGACGCAGGGGAGCAAAGTTCCTCCGTCGCTTGCATCTCAATATGGCGGCCCCGAACCGAGCAAATCGAGCCCAATAAGGCTTAACGAGGACGCTACGTCTCTTGTACGGGACGAGAGCAGCAGCAAATGAAAGCGTAACACGAGCTTTCCGCAAACTGTGTTTATTTCCGAAGCCGGATTCCCCCCATAGGTACAGAAACCTGCGTTTCGAAAGCAGTTACTCAGTCTTCTCGTCGACAGCACTGCGATGTTAAACGGAGACAACCGATACCCAGTTACTTCGCGCACTTTGCGTCTTACCTTTGGTGTTCCTCGAGTCACAATTCCTTCGTCAACCACACATCACGCAGAAGGGCAAACTCACTCCGCGAAACCAAAAGCCGCTCTCGAAAGAACGAACTCGAAGCCGCTGTTTATCGCGTAGCGTAAAAGAAGGTTAAATCGCTAGCCACCAGATGGCGGGGTCAAGTAGAGTAATTGCAAGTAGCTAGGCTAGGTGGCGCTAGGTACCGCCCAATTCATGTTCTAGAAAAAAAAATTTGCTTCTCACAGGCCACTACTGCGCTTGAGGACCCTCTACCATACACACATGACACCCATACACTTATTACAAGTCCCCATACACTGATTACAAGCATCAGGTGAACATACATTAAGCACATGCACTGCACACACAAATATCTATACAACGGAACACCACACTAACCCGAACACTACACCCGTGCTCTGCGTTTCCGTCTTTTATACTGGTCGTTTTGAACGTGCGGAACTTTTCGGTGACTGCCTAAGCAATAAAAAATATTCCCAGCATGTTGATTTTTTCCCTGCAATGTCATACCTTTGAGAGTATTTTGAATGGCTCAGGGGTTGAATCTCTTATTAAAAAGTAAACGCTCAATCATGCCGTAATTCTTTGAAAGCCAATAAATCAAGCCGCTCCAATGCGGTTCGAAGCCATGAGTTTGTTTCCCCACACGGCACGTCGTAGCTTGTATTTCTATTTGTTTTTCTATTTGTGCTGTTCGCGCAAAGCTGCAATTACCGTTTGAATTAATCTCTGTAGAGCGGATATTCAGTCAGCTGCAAGTGATGCTTCACGGACTGAGAAATTGCTTTTCGATCAACTTGAATGCAGTCGAAGCCGCGACTTGCGGCAGGTGTTAAGTGTACGGAACTACGCCGTGGCGAGCCCGAAAACTTCTAGCGCTCATCCCAGCGCGCCACGGAGGGCAGTTTCTCCAGCAACCGTAGTATAATTAAACAGCCAAATAAAGGGTAGTTTTTTTTTTTCCCGATTTTACCTACTATTGTTTTTAATGCCGACATTCTATACTGTAAATATACGTACTTTACGTCACGATTTCGTACTGTTCAGTCCTTGCCCCTGAGCGCAATCGCTGTCGGGGACGAGACAATTCCGACAGTCACATTGGCCACTGTACGATAGGAGCTTCTACTGTTCAGACCAGCGTTCCCAAATGACTATCCGCACGTTGATCGATTGCACGTAATCCCTCAAGTGGTATTAAACTTTTTAATGTAAAACGGAATGTCAACCTGCGACACGCCGCCCCCTCCGATCACAACCCGACCAGCGGCAACAATGCCCAACAGTTTACGATCTCATCTTGTTACACCACTGATACGCGAACACATGGTCACATCGGCGATAATTCCAGTCTTCTGTTCACAACCCAACACTGTCATCACGATGTTGCAGCTATGTTGCTGACACGCACAAACACAAAACCACGTTGAACGCCGGTTGCACTCGGCATCGGAAAACAGAACCGAACTCAGGGGGGAAGGCACCCAGGCAGCCGCCAGCAAAGCCTGCATGCCTGTCTTGGACGCAGTTCCTGCAGTTTCCATAACGTCGAAAACGTCGACACAGTTCCGCGTGCTTTCGCTACTGTAGTCTGTAGTGCTGCAGCCTGCAATGGTTGTAGTTCCGTCAGTTCCGTGCCGCGCGAGTCACGCAATCCGGAGACGGCCATCCCCCAGTGTACGTGGCGCTGCTGGCACTGCTCCGGAACTTCGCTGTTTCTAGCGGCTTCGTTTGCTCGTTTGATAAAATTAGTGATAGAAACGTCAATGCAACCGAAATGTTCTGGACGTTTAAACTAGAAGACGGAATTACAGGCGGCCTTCGCTGCTGCTGAAGCTCAATCAACTCAACAGCTATTTATTAAACAACGTGCGCGACCTGCTCGAAAAACGAAACTGAAAGACGATGAGTCGGGAGGGCGAAAGCTTTCTCCCGTCGGCCTGGAGAAGGAGAAAAACATTTCGTTCCTCCCCTTTTCTCGTGTCCGCTTGGGGGCGCGTCGGTAGAAGGGAGGAAGGCGCGCCGTTGCTACTTTTTTCCTCCATTTTTTCTTAGAGTGTAGCATTGGCAGCTGCCCTTACAGCACGAGAGCTTGTGCCGCCGAGATGAGCCCTGAGCTAGAAGCTCGCTCCTGTAGCCTTTTCTGCGGTACATCATAAGGTGAAACAGAGTATAGCACGCAACATCTAAGCTGAGACAGCAGCCAATGCCGCAAGCACGAGCGCTCGCGGTCGCTG